ATTCTCATTTTCAACCACACATTCTTCAATAAAATAATATTTTCCATCACATCAATAATTTTTTCTTCTTTTTCAACCACACATTTCCCATCATATCACTATTTAAAATCAATTCTTCCCTCAAAAATCTATCCCAAACAAGCTCTTAGTAAAAGTAACTAATCCATTAGTATTAGTAAAACCAGTGATTTGAGTTTGTTTAGAATCCAAATGTCCTGTTTCATTTAGATGTTTCTCTTTGTGTCTCTGAAGTGTGTCGGTGCCTTGACCATATCTCCAAACATAATCTTTTTTGCAGATATTGCATACTGCTTTTCCGTCATTTTCATTTACTGTAAAAATTTGTCGCACCTCTGATATTTGTTTTTTCCTTGAATATTGAGATGATCCAACTTCTACAACATTATCGTTTTCTAAATTTATTGGAGAGCAACTATCATTTAAAATAAGATTTTCAGAAGAAAAATGAGAAGAATCCATAATATAGTAATATTATAATATATGAGAATTGAGAAGAAAGAAATATAATAGAGATGGATGATGATGATGATGATATTTGCAATTGTAATATCAAGTATAATTTTTTGGAAGGTTACAAGTGAGATAAATATCGTTTCTTAATTGAAATTTATAGATGAAATAGAGATTATTACCGTTATTAAAAAAATAAAATAAAAATAAAAAAATTAAACGTGCAGGCTACGCCTGTTGCAGGCGTAGCCTGCATCTGCAACATGCAGGCTGGCAGGTTGCCAGCTTGCATGATAGAAATTTTTTTTTAAAAAAAAATATAGCATGCAGCAGCAGGTTGGCAAGTGCCAGCCTGCAGCTCTCCCATTTTCAAAAATTTTTAGTTTTTTTTTTTTTGCACAAGCCAGCGGGTTAACCGCGACCCATGAAGATGCAACCGGCGAAACCCGCGGGTCATACCTCCTTGACCCGTAAATCGCCCGCTCGGGTCACGGGTCGGCCCGCTGTCCCATCCGCCTTGACACCTCTATGATTACCCACGCATTTATGTTGCTTTTGCTGCTAATGTCCATAAAATTGAGTACCTCATTGTAATTGGTTAACATGAACACCAAGTTTAATGAAATGATGCGGTCATAAACTTTTTGCCATGCATGTTAATTGATTCTACATGAAATTTAGGTGGTTGGAAAAACAGAATGAAAGTAACTTCATTCAATTGTTTGAGCTGCTTCTTGTTATTTGTAATGCCTTTGGCCTCATGATTCCCAATGTTACAACTGTCTTTGACAGCAGCTAAGAATTCCATCCTTGCACACCTTACAGACAGTGGTGTTTTATGTGTATAAAATTAGAAATGTTTGCAATTTGCGTTTACAATAAATTCATGCATGATCAGATCAATGAAACCATCAACCAAGATCAATTCCAAAATAAAAACGTTTCTATCTTGTCGACAATGATCAACTAACGTGCAGCACACGTTCTACTCACTAGTTATTTCAAAAGAGAGAAGATTCAAGCTTTGCAA